CTCCACACCGTCGTGCTCCCACAGCAGGGATCACTTTTATACAAAGCAGATGTTTTTGATAAAGAGAACAAAAGCAGTGGATGACTTTAAAATGCCTGTTAATTCCTTTCATGTTTTATTCTTCCCTTTTTTTAAAAAAAAAAGATTATTTCACTTTGATTGTTTCCTCCCTGTTAATAAATGGGTAAACCTTATTAGTAGTATAATTTGGTGATAAAATGCTGACAAAGGAACACGTGATTTGTTTTTCAGCAGTTAATAGTGCTTGTAGTTTTGCATTTGTATGCTTATGTGCTTTTCAAACATGGGTTTGAACCATGTCTCGTAGTTTTCAGAATGATCTTGAAATAAGTGGAAAAGTAGAGAATGGCAGCAAATATTCCTACAATTGACTTTTGGACTAAACCAAGTTAGCCATGCTGAGGCCTACTAAGAGCATGACAATCTGCCTTCTTTGAGCTGATTGTTTTCTTACCTGGAGGGTAGATGTAGGAGCAGTTATGACAAACAATTATAATTTTTACTGGATGACCTTACCCGATGTAAACATGTTCTCATCTCCTCCACAAAATCCTGAATACAATAGCAAGAGAACTGTAATTACAAATTTCTACAACAGAGGTATTATATAGACTCAAGTAAAAATCCAAGTGGTTTGTGCGACATATAGTAAATCTGTTTTGTTTTTTTTCATATGCCGTGCGCAGTGATTACAGTCAGCCAAGTAACAATACCGATAGGCAAAGTGAAGGCTAATTACTGGTTGTGAAATGAAGGTGAAGTAGTGCTTGATAAGATCTGCAACAAAAAAGTACCACAGCCATTTTATAAACCCAAATATCTCAAATTTTTAACTCCAGCGTTCTTAATCCATTTTGGTAATTATACCAATCCCAACCTTCTGTACTGGGGTTTCAATAAATAATAAAGCAATAATGCGGCCACTTACATACTTCCAAGCTCATAAGCTATTTAAAGAAACCACCAGCACATTCTGTGTAGATTAAAGCTGCATTATTTATGAATCTGAAGCAAGTCACATATGAGGCGGTCATTTGAGCACCTACTGGTGAAATTGCTGCTTTTCAAGCTTTTTAACTTCCTAAAATTTTCCAATGAAATGGTAATAAGCGATGGATATTATATTGCCTATAAATACACATACAGTACTGTGCAAACATTTTAGGCAGGTGAGAAAAATGCTGTAAACAAAGAATGCTTTCAAAAATGGAAGTGTTAATCACTTATTTTCATCAATCAACAAAATGCAGTGAATGAACAAAAGCGAAATCTTAATCAAATCAATATTTGGTGTGTCCACCCTTTGCCTTCAAAACAGCATCAATTCTTAGGTACACTTGCACACAGTTTTTGAAGGAACTCCACTGGTAGATTGTTTCAAACATCTTGGAGAACCAACCACAGATCTTCTGTGGATGTAGGCTTCCTCACATCCTTCTGTCTCTTCATGTAATCCCAGACAGACACGATGATGTTGAGATCAGGGCTCACTTCCAGTACTTCTTGTTCTTCTTTACGCTGAAGATAGTTGTTAATGACTTTGGCTGTATGTTTGGGGTCATTGTCCTGCTGCAGAATACATCTGGGGCCAATAAACAATCATTTATATTTCTGAAAGCATTCTTTGTTTACAGCATTTTTTCACACCTGCCTAAAATGTATATGAATGTGTAGATTATGCATGCAGGGAGAAGATTTTTGGTACTGGATGTTTTTGGCCAGTCAAATTAGAGCAAACTTTGGTTACAGGGTTAATTTAGCTATAAAGTCAAAAGATATGCCCATTTTATAACATAGTGAATATTGGTTCATTTGGAACAAGACCAATAAAACTGACCAGCCTAAAATGTCTGATAAAAACATCTTAATTCAAATGTATTGATATATTAAAGTGCAAGAAAATATATATGCTGCTTAGTGCATTATTGTAAATACAATGTGTACATCCTTCTACTATGGAACGCCAGGACTGCCATAATGAATTAATTAAATACACCATTAAATAATTAAGAATTCGCTGAAGAGGAAGGAACACAGTAACTGATTCATCATAGCATTTCCCCAATTTACCAAAAAGATCAGGATAGAAAGAAGAGAGCAGACATAAAATTCAAACTTAGGTTTCCAGGCATTTCATTATTGTGCACGAAGGCAGGCAGACGTGGATGCTGTTAACATTTACAGAGTCCGTCTCAACATAACTAATCAGTGTGTAATTGGGGGAATCCACGCGGAAAAGCAGCAGATCACTGACATCAGAAGACTAATTAAATGGTAAATCTTACAAAGGTCAACAGTGTGTTGGCTAAGGATGAAGAGAGTAGCCACCATATGGCTAAAGATGCCCTCAAGAAGTGTGTCTTCACTGCTCTTTTAATCTTTTGAGCTAATTGTGCCCCCCCTGCACCCCCAGTCTTCTCGTGATTGTGGCCAGTGCTCAGGCAGACAAAATGTGGTCAAACTCTAATCTACTTAACTGCTTGGCACTTTGTTTTTCCAATTATGGTTAGGCCTTGTTATTGTAGTGCTGAAACCCGCTGACATCAGCATTTATTTGGCTTCCTAAGCAAATTTTCTACTCAGAGTTTAACAGACGTGAAACAGTTTTTACAGCGTAAAATAAACAGATACAACCAACAATTTATGAAAGAATCATTTATCCAATGAATACATAGAAACAGTGTGAAGATACTGATCCGATCACTTTTGCTGAGTGTTGTAATGAGTTATTATTTAGCTATTCAGCCCACAACAGTTCACTCTCACTGCTCTCACAGTGTAAGTTTTACTAAAGAATCTCATTAAATTTACTGCTAACCAACAAAGTGTCAGACTGGCTAATCAACACAGTGGAGCACCTGAAAGAGTACTTGAAAGATTGTGAAGATTGGACTTGTATTCATGTTCAGACTTTGAGCAGAGAACACTATAGAAGAACAGCCCATTTTATACTTACCTTTCATTTAGGGAGATGTAAATGAATTGTAAGGTTGCAAATTTTGTAAGGTGCTTTGTGATAACATTTATGTAAAAATTGTGTTCACAGCTTGTTTTTAGTTAAATAAAATATAGCTAATGGCAAGTTTTCAGAAATAGAGGTCATGTGTAAAATTCTTCAACACACCCCACTGAATGCATATTTATTAATTCATCTGAAATATGTGTTAACTTGTTTATTGAAAAATTTAAATGCATTGTTAGGTTGTTAAATTTCACAAACTTACAGAAACAAAATCAAGAAAAGGATCCTTAGTGTTTAAGTCCTCAGAAAGCGAATCCATAGATCTCCAGAGTGTTTCTGTGTGTCTATTTTAGCAGTTATTTTCTATTCAGCTCAGTCCCAGTAAGAAGCCTTTTGTCAGAGAGCTCTAAAAATACACCATAAGTGATTTTCTCTGTAATAAAAAGCAGACAGTTGGCTATTAGCTAGTTAAGAGTGTGTAATATATTGGAGCTTAAGACACCAGAGCTGAAATGCAAGCAAACATTGGACTTAGATTTATCATTCTGCCAAAACAGACCACGAATGAACACTGTGAATTTTGCTGGCATAAGCAGGATGCTGTTTTCTAAAGCAATTATGTCAGATGGTGTAAAACAAAATTAATTAAAGTGTTCATATGTCCAATCTTAGAGCAGTCGTTAGCGCAGTTATTCACACACGTTACAAGCGCAGACAAAAAGCAAACAAACAGTGAATGAGTACAGATGCCACTGCGCAGATGTCAGAGACCCAGCAGCTTGTGTCCCCTCCAGATTTGCATCTTTCACTTGAACCGCTCAACTGTGCAAAGAGACAAATGATGAAAATGAGCGGGGAGGCACGAGGGCATTGAAGCGTTAAGGGATGACGATGATGATGGCACTAACAGATAGAAGTATTGTTTGACACCTGTTCTAAATTTTACATTTGAAACTTTCCAGCAACCTTCCATCTCTTATCTCTAGTTTGATGTAAAAATCATGTTAGCAAAGAATATTTTATAGTTTGCTTTTCTTGGTTTTGAGTCCTTTCGCACCTTAATCATAAAATAATGTAGAAAGCTTTTCTCTTAGCCATAAACGTACTGGTATTTTGGTAAAACAAGAACACAGTCTTATTTAAATATGACAAGAAAGCTTGTTTCATATTTCCTACCTCAGTTTTGCACGCTTCTCCTCATTCCTCACCAGATCCAATCTCATACCTGCTCTGGCTAATAAACTGCCGCTTATGTAAATGCCACATGTATGATAATTCTAGCTTCTCAATAATAAATGGGAAAACCTCATGAATGAGCCAAATTAGTGCTGACCATCACATCAGCCCCCCAAAACTCCATCATTCTCTCTGTGACCTTTCTCTCCTGGCAACCTGAGGAAGTGGATGATCTCCAGTTAGACAAAAAAAGGGGTAGAAATGGGAGTTAATAGGCAGCTCCTCTGCAAACACTGGGAGTCTTTATGAATAGGAGGCAATCACACAGATCAAATATACAGCAAGGGGAAATGGGTCTGGAATTCAGGAGGCAAAAAAAAAAGAAAAGAAAAGAAAAGAAAAGGAGGGGAAATACAAATTGAAGATGCTGGTAAATATAATAATGTGTGCCTCATGTAATCGTCCTTTTAAATGCAGATACTGAAGAGGAGTGTTGACTGATGTAGACAGAGGAGACACAAGGAGGAGTGCCTGGATGGGGACTGGTCTACAGTTACAAGACTTCTAGCACAGAGCTGGAGATTTTGTTGTCATTGCTGATTCTTTTTTGTTTGTTTGCTTGTTTGTTTGTTTGCAGACTTCATGACGATCCATGTCTGAGCAGCACCATTGTGCTGGCAATGTGACTGATTGATCAGTAGATGAACAGTAAAGATTAAGAGGATGACAAATAAGCATGCTGCTTAAACAGCGCTTGGGGCTAATCCTACCCCCTCCACCACCCCCCGGGTTCCCTTTTGAGGACCTGCTGCTGAGGAGAGCCCACAGACAGTGACAGACATCGGAGGGAACACACACGCGCACACAACCTGTTCACGTGCAACAAGTGTCAGCTGGAGCTCATGACAGGACCCCAGCTCATCTGAACAACCACAGCAGAGGTTGCAACACACAGCACGGGCTCACCCTGCCATCTGTCCACCGGGGACCACCGGAGGCCCTGCGGCCCTACGTATTTTTCTTTGAAGCAACTGAGCAGAAGAGGACCAAAACTTTTTCCTATCTGCCTTTGTCAATCACTAGAGGAGATATTTTGAGAGAAAAATAATGGAGGATCACCTTACAAAGATACCCATGATGCCATCCTCTTCCCCCACCGAGTCATCTGGCAGCGGTGGGACTGATGACAGCAGGGGAGGTAAGAGCTCCACACCAACGACAACAAGTTGCCAATGGAGTCTGAAGAGTGTAACACTGACTTGGCTCTGTAACAGGGAGGAAAAGTTAGCACTTAAACAATATGAAAGTTTGAAACACCTGAAATTTTTTCAATTATCGGGTTATGCATCGGGTTATGAATGAAATCCAACACAAAAACATTAATAACTCTCATAAAACACATAATTATGAGCCAGCAATGCTTTTTTAAATTATAATTAAGGATTTTATTCAATTTTTGTGAGTGTTTAGACAGACTGTCCTGCTACCAGCAGACAGAGCTGACTGTACAGATGGCAGGCACATGTATGAAACAATACCAGCCCTAATGAGTGGCAATAACCGACCTACTCTGTGACTGTTTTTGACTCACAGCCAAGAGTCCTGCACCGGGCAAAGCTCTGAGCCCAGCTCTGGTCTGCAAAGTGTGTGGAGACACCAGCAGCGGGAAACACTACGGCATCTACGCCTGCAACGGCTGCAGCGGCTTCTTCAAGCGCAGTGTGAGGAGGAGACTCATTTACAGGCAAGAGGAAACTCAGCTGTAGACAGTTATTCCAGCTTCATCGTGTGACGTTTCCTCATCTATTTAAAATAGTCAATATTCAAGGTGAAAGGAATATAAACTCTGGTTTTAGCCTCTACAAACCCCATATTTTGCCAAATATTATTCTAAAT